TCTCGGTTTCAGTTCATAATGCACCCAATTTCCTTGTTTTTGAATAATTCCCATATCTCAATCGTACGGAAACGGCTTGTTGAGTCACTCCCAATGATTCTACAAGCTCCTCTTGCGTTTGACTCTGATCTTCTTCGAGTAATACCTCTATTTCTTTGTCCTTGAATTTTTTTGGCTGTCCAGAGCGAGGCTTGTCTTCGACGCTGAAATCTCCATCCTTGAGACGTCGAAACCATTCCCTACATGATTTATCAGTTGGAGCAGTGTCACCATAAACTTCAACAAGCATTCGATGGGCTTCAGCTGCATTTTTCTTTCAATTAAAGCAGAAAATTAAAACCTCCTGCAAATGCTGCTTGGTTAACACAAAATTAGACATTTTCAACACTGTAAAAAGCAAGGTTTTTGTATGAAACTTAAAGCGATATAAACTGAATATTATTGGCAGATGTCTACCCTCTCTGAAACCGCCAAAATCGGCAGTCACTATGAACCATTCATAACAGCCGGAGCCATCTTTTGAAAACGGACCGAACTAATTTGTACACCCAATAAAAAAAATAAAGAGAGGAACCGCAACATGTTTAGATTTATCACAAAATTATTCAAGTGATTCTGATAATGTATCAATATGTAATACTAATAACAATATTTCAGAACCCAATACAACAATCATGAAAAATATAGAATTGCAATGTGATAATAGTAAAACAGACTGTTCTAATACTTCAGATTCTTTGGATAATTTTGATGATATTACAGAATGCAATGGTTTAATAGATCTGAAACAAATGTAGTAAAAGGCAATGAAAATAATTTTATCAATAAATTACGATTATGGGCAATATCGCATAACATTTTACATTGAGCTTTACGAGATTTGCTACAATTATTAAAATCAGAAGCTAATATTTGTGTGCCTCAGGATCCCAGAACTTTGCTCCATACTCCTCGACACATATTCAGCAAACCTGTAGATTCAGGCACTTATTTACAGATTGGAGTTCAATCTGCAGTTGAAAAGCTTATAAATTTGTTAGAGGATCAATTTGTTAAAGTTATTATGCTTCACTTTCGAGGACCCAGTGTACAATATAGAATCTAGAATAACAGATGGAGAAAGATCAATCGCTCCTCAACTTGCAGATTTGATAAAAGACGCTATCAATTTTGATACATTTAAAGAGACTTATGATACTTTTAACTATATTGATGCTAGTGTGATTCCAGATGCTGTTTTAGTTGAAGACAATTCAGAAGATGTTTCGGAAGTTGTGCAAGACGATACAAAATTCAGAGAAATTGTAGACATTAATTATAAGAAAAGAGTAATTATTTCCAAATTTAATTGTTTTAATTGACCTTGAAAATCGACCTCAAGGTCAATTTTAAGGTCACCATCAAGTGCATCACTTTGAACTCTACAACTTTGATCCTAAGCACTTTTTTCAGAAAATGTATCGTTTCAGAAATAATTAGCCATAACTGTTTCCACCTCCAGGGGTTGAGGGGTGCTTTCTACCCCTAAAAAGCGTATTTAGCCGAAACAAAAAACACGTATTTAATATTTTTCGGTGTTTAATAAGTATGTTAAGTTTCATTCAAATCGGCGAGTATCAGTTGGGTAGTGTTACTTGTTAGATTCCTCATCCCCTCCGGCAGTGCGGCCAAGACGGCCCCTGCCATCGTGGCCCCACTCCTCCAGGGACGGAGCTCTGTCGCCAGCCCTCCTCCGGGAATTACTCACACGCATATTCGCTGGATGGCACACCATCCTTCCCCCCCAGGGAGCCCGCCTGCCCCTTCCCCCTGCAGGCACCCCCGTCCCAGCACCGGACGAGCTTTAAAGTCATGGGCGCCAAGGGACACCGCCCCGACCGACCTGACCGATTTTTTATCGCACCGCTTAGCAGGCCGGGCCAGCGCCTGCAAACACCCAAAGGCACCCCCCAGTACTAAACCTGAGAACCCCGGAGGCCGGGACACGTTCCCCAGGGCTTTTTGTTTTCGGGTCACTCTCGCGTGGAGGAATTAAACCACACGGGATCAATTCCGAAGACTTCACACATAGTCGGCAGCCTCACTAGGCTAACAAGTCCGACTTTCCGGATTTTGTATTGGGTTCTTCCTTCCCCTCGTTCGGATGTCTAGCACCACCAGACTGATAGGTTCGATCACCCGGGTTTTTACTTTGAGTTTTCCTTCCCCTCGTTGGGTGTCTGGTTTCCCAGACTAACGGACCCCTTCATCCGGGTTTATTATTCAGGGTTCATCCTTCCCTTAGCTTCGGATGCCTGAACCATCAGGCTCACGAGTCCGAGCACCCGCCCCCAGCTCCGAACCACAGCTAACGCTGCCCTGCCGCAGGACGAACCCCTATTTTAACTGTGCGGCTTCGTAGTAGCGAGGACACTTCGGACGCCATTCCTATGTCCCGCCGCCGGGGAACATTCTGTCGCACGATAGACCTGGCGCCCTCCGCAAGAGCTCGGATCGGCCAGGGCACCTGACATCCTCATTCACACTAGAAGACCCTTACGGGTCTTCCTCACCCTGCGGGCTCCGCCCCCCCCCCCAGGACACCCCCAATCCCCCGGCAAAGGCCCCCTTTAGACGATGCCGGCCACAGCCTAGCCGACCGGGGATTTGAAGTGGGGGGGGCCGAGGTCCCCTATTTAAAGTACTTGCTCAGACATTCACTTTCTATGGATATTGAGTACGAGATTCTTGCATCCAGCATGGATTAGTGTCACTCCAATATCTGTAGTTGTGTCTATTCACTGTGCTCTTTAATGTGAAAGTGCATTCATCAGAAAGTACTATAAGAAAAATCCTAGTCCCTTTCATTCAAATCCATCATTAATACACAAAATTCTATTCGACGAGCAGGATCATTTTCATTGAGTTTCTGAACCAAGTGAACTTTATACGGATGAAATTTGACTAACTTCAAAATTCTATGAACGGACGCTCGAGTGTTTCCATGCTGTTTAACTGCGTTGCGAATAGAAAGGTGAGGGTTTTCTACAAATGTTTGTGCAACCTCCATCTGACTCTCCTCATTTGTAACTGATTTAGGCCATCCAGATCTCTGACGATCTTTTGCTCCACCAGTAATTTCATATCGCTGTACAGGTCGAATAACTGTAGATTTGGAAATTAACGGCTGACCATTATCTCGGAACGTTTGATTAAATATTGTTCGAGTTTGCGAATAAGAACGTTGAAGATCATCCCAACCTCGCATCATTAATCCATTAACGCCCAAAAGTCTTAGAATATTAGCCTCACTTTGCAACTGTATTTTATGTAGAGAAACATATTATATAAGATTGGAATAGCATTTCCTTATGTTTTCGGGGTCGTTCTACAAGATTCCGGCATCAGAATTCGTTTGGATTCACAATAAAATCCAATATGGCGGAATTTTTGGAAAAAAGTCGTGAAAAATCGACAATTTTATTTTTTATAAGCTTAATTTCGTATCAAAAACGTTACTTTGATACAGATACAAGTGTCACATCTTGTTTAAAAAATGTTGAACTTTCAGGGTATGCATTGGTGAAAATGTAAATTCAAGATGGCTGCCTCAAAATGGCGGTTTGAACAAAAAAACTTAAAAAATAATGTATTTTTAGAATAACTGCGCAAAATCCTATTTAGCATCAATTTAGTATGCAGGGTACTGATTTTAGGATATTTACAGACAACTAATTCATATTAGAGAATTTCAAAATGGCAGATCCAAGATGGTGACTAAGAAGCACGAATAATCGTGAAAATTTCCAGATTTTCATGAATTTTCTTCTATTATTTTCATATTCATGAATTATTTTCGAGACATACACACGAGACATATACAAGGTGGGTAATTATAAACTTACAAACATTATATAAAACATAAAAAACATCTAAATAAATACAACGGACGGAAAAAAATAGAAATCGACTACGTAAAGTTTTGAGAAAAATTGCTAAATAAATGAGCGAATAAACGCTCAATGAGCATGCCTTGTGGGCATCGCAGGCATGCTACTCCGCACGGTTTAGGCCGGATTGGCAGGCAACAACAGCGGACCGGCGCGGGCGGCGGGCGGACAGGACGCACGCACGCACGCACGCACGCACGCACGCACGCACGCACGCACACGTACACACATACACACGCGTATACATATAAGAGATATAAATTCGACCGTGCAATTTGCACCCAGTACATCTTGGACAATGCTTATACCGGCGGTATTGTAACTTTCGACCCTATAACATGGAAAGTACTCAATGAAACGTAACTTGTTTACAGTATTTTGGAAAGCTCTCGAGATGAGCTATAAGAATATGTAATTGAAAAATAGGAGGTTTCATTTAAAAAAATAAAGTTGAGCTTCGTATGATATTGGCACTTTCGTTCAAGGTAAATTCAATGACATCATCTTATGTACCCCTTCGAACCAAACAACTTTTGTTTGAACCATTTATTTTTAAAATGCAGTAGTTTATGAAATGTTCGACCGTTTCAAGATTTTTGTTACACCCTGTATATCCATATCAAAGTTAGCCATTTGAAGTCGCCATATTGGATCCGGCAAATTTTGAATTTTAAAATTCCGACTCCGGATTCATAATCAGCAACACAAAAAACTTTTTATAGATAAGTTTACATATAAAATATGATATTATTCGCTCTTACCAGTTTTGGCACAAAATATTAGTTCGACTCACTAGTGAACTGGTTAATAACTGAATATTTATTGTGAATCTCGCAAAACAGTATAGGATTTTTATGTTTGTTTTAACCCAATCTACCTTCATACTTCGAGTTAGCAGCTAATTACTGGACACCTTGTATATTCCATTCAAGCTCTTTTTTACCTCTTTTAGTTAGTTGATTTTACCTTTTGAGATATCCTTGAGATAGACTACAATTGCATAATCTATTAATATGAAAAAGGCAATAATAGACGTTTTAACTAATCACTATTATTATATATATATTGCAGACAATCCTTCAGAACTCATGTTGCTTAAACAAAAGCATGATCTATGATCATATCAAGCCGCTCCTGGGAACAGGATTGATTACAGCTCCTGGTAAGTCTTTGCAAATATTAGGTCGAGTCATAAGTAACTTCCGTTTTTTATCAGACATTTATTTTGCTTTCATTAAATAACAAAATTATATTAATTTATTATGTATTCGCCACTATTATGTATGACCTTCTCCCATCTTCCTGGCAGTTGATCAATTCCTTCTTTATAAAATGTGTTTGGTTTGGACTGGAAGAAATTTTCGACAGACTTGCTCCTCAGAATGGAAGGTTTATCCATTCAAAAAGTTTTGTAAGGAACAGAAAAGGTGGTAGTCTGTCGGGACAAGGTCTGTGGAGTAAGGTGGGTGTGGTAAAACAGACCATCCAAGCTCAAGAATTTTTTCTTGAGTCACCCTTGCTGTATGTGATCGCGCATTGTCGTGTAAGAGAATGACGTTTTTGCGATTGATGAGTGCAGGACGCTTTTCATGGAGTTTCTCTTGCACTCTTTGCAGCTGCTGAACGTACCTATCCGCAATAATTGTTAAATTTGACTTCAACATCTCGTGATGAATTATGCCTCGACAATCCCACCATACACACAATAAAATCTTTTTGCCATGGATGTTTGCTTTTGGATCTGGTAAGGGTGGTTGATCCTTATTAAGCCACTGTCTTTTGCGGATGATATTGTCATAGGTAACCCATTTTTCATCACCTATTATAATCCTGTTTAAAAAAAGCTCGATTTTTACCTGTGAGAGCAGACTTGTGGCGATTGACATGCGATCTTCTTTATTCCGTTCACTGAGATTGTGAGGTACCCATACTCCTAACTTGCTGATTTTCCCTAATTTCTCCAGGTGGCGGTTAACAGTTGTGATGTATTCAACCTTTCTGCTATACCTCTTGTTGATTGACGTGGATTTTGCTCCAATATTGCCTTTAAAAGTTGTCGTCAAAGTCGGAAGGACGTCCCGCCCTCGGTTCGTCTTTTAAGGTCGTATCTCCAAAACGGAATTTTACAAATCAATTTCTAACTGCCCGATCAGTTATTAGTCCTTCACCGTATACACTGCATATTTTTTCAGCTGTCGCCTTAGCACTATTGCCTTGTTTAAATTCCCAAAGTATTACATAACGAATATGCACTTTTTGACTCTCCATTTCAGAGGTTAAGAAAAACAGTTTAATGTAACGTACACCACACAAAACAGTTGACAGAAGACTAACTGAACCCTTATCTATATAGTGAAAATAAAAACTCGTTTGTCCCGGTGACTCATAGTGGTTAGATACGAACAATAGATTTTACTTAGCTGCATCAGAAGTTACTTATGACTCAACCTAATAACAAACAATTCCGCAACGTGGAAAACACAGACGCCATTTTATGCGACATTGATTAAATATCTTCATGACATTACAATTTATTGTTTAAGTGTATAAGAATATATATTATATTGGGGTGGCAAATAAATTGCTCGGTTTTTTAGAGTGGAATGAAACAGAATTTCTTCGATACACATAAATATTAATCAATTATATATTGATTAATATTTATTTCGTGTATCGATGGCCTTTTGCTATCTTACACCAACTTTATTATGCCGCGTTCGTAAAACATCTGAACATATTAGAAAAAAAACAATCCAAGTGTCTTTTGACAATCTCCTCTTCCTTAAAGGTTTTCTCGTTCATAAAGTTCTGCAACGACCGGAATAAATGATAATCAGAAGGGACCAGATCCAATGAATATGCAGGATGAAACAAAACTTTCCAACCAAGACTAAGCAATTTGTTCTGGGCCAGTGACATATACTGTATGTTTCAAACCACCCGGGTCACCCGATTTTTTCATTAATGCAACATTTTAGAGAAAAATATTTTAGACAAAAGTTGTAGGGCTTTAAAGGATCTATTTATCGACTTTGACTATTTATGAATTTGACTTTGGGATAACCTTGAAAAATCCAGTCAAGATCAACATAAAAATCTTAAATAGATACCCCAAATTTTTATTACATCATCTTTTTCTAGCAATTAATTTGAATAACTTTTGTCTGAACTATTTTTTTATTTATCTAATATTTTTTGAGATATTTAAGGAAAACTTGATAACTTTTTCAATATTTAACTCACAATATCTCGCTAACTATTTGTCAAAAGAAAAAATGGTACTAGACTTTTCTGCTCTATTTAGTCTTAGAAATATTAGGTGCGCAACTAAGTTCCCGCTGTTTTTCAAGAGATGGCTCCAGTAGTAAGTGCTGGTCGATTGTGACATAACCAAAACGTCATGAACCAAGATTTAGACATATGGTAAACAAACCGCTTTGACACATTAGTGATTTTGTTTTTGCGTCATATATTTTTGGTTGTGTGAAAATGTCTTATTTTGTGCCAAATAATCGTCATTTGCGGGAAGTGTTGCTTTTCTTCTTTCATTCGAAGAAAACGGCGGCTGAAGCGCATCGAGAACTCCAAAAAGTTTACGGAGATGCTGCTCTAAGTGAAACAACGTGCCGTGATTGGTTCCGTCGCTTCAAAGACGGTGATTTCGATGTTGACGACCGTTCGCGTGAAGGAAGGCCTAAAACCTTCGAAGACGCTGAATTGGAGGCATTGCTCGATGAGGATCCGTGCCAAACGTAAAAAGAGCTTGCTTCAGCATTAGGAGTTACCCGCCAAGCCATTTCCAAGCGATTGCATGCGTTGGGAATGATTCAAAAACAAGGAACTTGGGTTCCTTATGATTTAAAGCCAAGAGACGTTGAGCGTCGTTTTTTCGCCTGTGAACAACTGCTCCAGCGGCAAAAAAGGAAGGGTTTTCTTCATCGCATCGTTACGGGTGATGAAAAATGGATTCATTACAGCAACCCAAAGAGAACAAAATCATGGGGACTGCCCGGTCATGCTTCTACGTCGTCGGCTCAGCCGAATATTCACGCTGCGAAGGTTTTGCTGTGTATTTGGTGGGACCAGGGCGGTGTTATTTATTATGAGCTGTTGAAACCGAACGAAACCATTACTGGGGAACGGTATCGAACTCAATTGATGCGATTGAGCCGAGCACTGCGCGAAAAGCGGCCACAATACGAGCAGAGGCACGAAAAAGTGATTCTACAGCATGACAACGCTCGGCCTCACGTTGCCAAACCCGTTAAAACCTACTTAGAAACGCTTAAATGGGAAGTCCTACCCCACCCGCCATATTCCCCAGATATTGCGCCGTCCGATTATTACTTGTTCCGTTCGATGGCACATGGTCTGGCTAATCAGCAGTTCCGCTCATATGAAGACATCTCAAAATGGCTTGATTCGTGGATAGCTTCAAAAGACGAACACTTCTACCGTGACGGTATTCGAGCTCTGCCAGAAAGATGGGAAAAAGTTGTCGCTAGCGATGGGCAATATTTTGAATGATTCATTTGTAACCATTTTTTCACAATAAAGTTGCATTTTCATCAAAAAAGCAGCGAGAACTTAGTTGCGCACCTAATATATTGTTTCAATAGCGCCCCGAATTTGGTTAATTTGATGATTTTGAAATTTCCAAAAATCAGCAAGTTAACAAAAGTCAGTGCACTATTGTAAAAATATATTCTTGAGACTAAACAGAGCAAAAAAGAGACTAAATAGAGCAAAAAATAGTACCATTTCTTCTTCCGACAACTAGTTAGCGAGATATCGTAAGTTAAATATTGAAAAAGTTATTAAGTTTTCCTTCAATATCTAGAAAAATATTAGGCAGGTGAAAAAATATTTTAGATGAAAGTTGTTCAAATTAATTGGTGGAAAAAGACGGTGTAATAAAAAATCGCGGTTTCCATGTCAGATTTTTATGTTGACCTTGATTGGACTTTTCAAAGTTATCCTAAGGTCAAATTCATAGCATCAGTAAATAGATCCTTTGAAGCCCTACAACTTTTGTTTGAAATATTTTGCTCTAAAATGTCGCGTTAACAAAAAAATGTGATAATTCGGGTGGTCTGAAACACCCGATAGAATTTTGAGTTGTCATAGTGGAAGACAACATCCTTGCGATTTGCTAATCTGGACATCTTGTGCAAATTATTTGCTCCAATGTTGTCAACTGCGAGCAGTATACGATTGAATCAATCATTTTTCATGGCGGTAACAGTTTGTAGTAGATGACACCTTTGAAATCCCATCAAACGAAGAGCATAATCTTTTTCGGTCGATATAATCCCCGCTTTGAGGTTGTTTGCGGTGTTTCCATAATCTTTTACGCGCTATATTATCATAGACGATTTATTTTTCATTGCCCGGCACCATCTACTTAAAAAATGAGGTCGCTTTTTTGGCGTTCTCACAACAAATCGCAGATGGATATGCAAGTGGCCAAGTTGACCTTTATAAGCCTTCGTAGCTCATTTGCCTTTTTTGAAATAATAGAATAAAATATGACGATAATACACGTTATTTATTTCCATTTTCACAACTACATCGCACACATAATATTAATATTAGCCAAAACAAGATTCACAGGAAAATTATGTGAAACATATACTTTTAAATGCACATGTGAGTTACGCGAAAATGCCGAGAAAACAAATGTGAATCGGATTGAACCTGTACCGAAGTAAAAACCGAACAAATTTATTTGTCAACCCAATATTTATGTCAAGTATAGCTCAGCAAAAATTAATTGAAAACATTGTAACAGTTGTCTACTTTAATATCCTTCATTAATACTTGCTTGGTTATATGTAATTTCTACGCTCTAAACGATTTTTATTGGAAATCGTATGATTATTGTCTGTTTTTATTTAGTGCAATTTTTTTATTATTTCAAATTAAAATTTATGCATGAAAGAAAAAGGGAAGATTAATACAAAAATTGTAAAAATAATCAAGTTATGCATAGAAAAATTTGAATGAATTAGTGTGCGCCTACTTCTAGGAATACTATAGTTGTCGGTGCTTGACGAGAGAAAAAAGATCGGCTATTACCAAAGAAGATACTACAATCGCACTACAATCTCTAGTGGCCGAACGCACCACTTACTACCACCGCGATGCAAGCTAATTCATTTGGTTTTTTTTTTCATGCGTAACTCGCCTGCTCTTACGATTTTTGTACAATAGTATTTGACTTTTTTCTTTAACTCAATCAGCTCTATGCCTTCATTGACTATGGTTACATAAGTTACAAATACTTTGTATACTCTAGGAAATTTAATAGCATTTGTAAAAATTATTAAGAGAATTTTTAATATTTATATCGTAATATTAATATCGTAAAGTATCTACTCACGCGTTTTTTATTTTTTTCTAACATTCGATTCTCCTCAGCATCCATATGGATCAGACATCGAAAAATGTTAGGGGCAAGTTTCAATACAAATATATTACGAGTATTCTGCGATATATTTGTGAAACAAACTTCAATATTTATGGAGAAATTGGAACATATGACAAACGACGAAATTGATTTAAATCACGATTTAGCGACGTATACATTGGATATAGCTTACGGTAAAGTAAAATTATTATTTGATATTGATTTGTTAGAAAATTGTACGTACATGCCATAAACTCTTTATTATATTAAATACATAACGCACATGTAAGATTGTAAATAACATATAAGGTTTAGTAGTTAATTCTTTCCGATTTTTGACAATTTTCAATCTTTATTTTTATTTAAAGTTCAATAGAACAAGATTAATTAATGAAATATTCTTCGTTATTATCGATGATCTTATGTTATTTATTAGGCAGTTGCCGAATCCCATCAAGATAAAAACTTGGTGGCTTTAAGGCCATAAAGTCATCGATGAAATTTCATACACCTTCAACTGTTGAAAAATGTGTTTCAGACAGTGCATGTTGTATCGATTGAAACAAGTGAAAATCTGATGGTACCAAGCCTGGAGAATACGCCCAAATATAAGATAGTTTCTTTTGTAGCTTCTACTCTTTGCGGTTTAGCATTGTCATGTACCAGGGTAACTTTGCGACTGTTTTGTCCAGCAAATGACCTTTTTTCTCAATTGCATCGCTCAAACATATCAATTGCTATTGGTAAATCTTTGCTTTAATGGTTTTACCCGGTTCTACAGCACACACTTCTGGTCTCACTATATAGTATACAAAGAACTTTTTCCAAAACGTTCGAGTTTTGCTGTCAGTGTTGTCGACTAGGATCTATTCATGATTTTTTGCATGATTGTTTAGGATTTTTATACATAATCTATTAGATATACAAATGAATAATCCAATTTTTTCAGCTACATTCAAAGTTTATTTTAAAAGAAAGTAAATTAAATTGTTCAATCAAAGTATTCGCCGTTGCTTTCTATAACTTTAAGCCACCTTTCAGGCAGCTGATGAATTCCATCTCGGAAAAATATTACGTCTTTGGACACGATAAAGTCCTCAAGCCATTTTCGGATCTCATCCACTGATTGGAAGTGCATATCGGACAAGGCGTGTTGCATCGACCGGAACAAGTGATAATCGGATGGAGCAATGTCTGGTGAATACGCCGGGTGCTGCAAGACGTCCCAGCCAAGACTCATTATGGTTAGCCAAGACTCATTATGGTGTCTTTTGTATTGGAAGCAATGTGTGGCCTGGCGTTATCATGCAACAATTTCATTCTCCTTTGCCAGTATACGGGCGTTTTCGTTCCAGTTCTTGACTCAAGCAGATTAATTGACGTTGGTAGCAGTCCGCAGTAACTGTTTCATCCGGTTCCAACAACTCATAATAAAACACGCCCTTGATATCCCACCAAATACAGAGAAGAACTTTCTATCCGAAGCGATTGGGTTTTACGACTGATTTTAATGATTCGCCGGGATTTACCCATGACTTTCTGCGTTTCGGATTGTCATAGAGTATCCATTTCTCATCGCCCGTAACGATTTTCCACAAGAAAGACTTTCGACCCTGCTTATTGAGAAGAGAAAGACACGCTGCCACTCATTGATTTTTGTCGATTTCAGTGAGTTCATGCGGAACCCATTTTTCTTCTTTCTAGATCTTTCCCATCTCATGTAGGCGTTTGGAAATCGTTTGCTGCGTTACTCCCAACTGTTCTGCAAGCTCTTTTTGTGTTTGTGCCGAATTCTCAGCGTTCAGTTGTTCCAAATCATCATTATCGCACTTCGGAGGGCCTCCAGGGCATTGTTTGTCGATTAGACTGAAATTACCGCTTTTAAACCGCTTAAACCAAAATGCGCACACATCGTACGATAACACCTTCGCCGAGAAAGGAACAAATCGATTCGCACGTTCTTGCAGCATTTTTCCTTGTTGGAATTCGTAAAGAATGCAGTGTCGGATATGCACCTTATCTGTTGCCATTTTCGACCGTACTGAACTGAATATTTTTGAAGGTTATGTTGAGCCTTTCGCCAAACTATATGTTCTTTTTAATAGCTATGTGTCAACATTGCATAATCACAAAAGAGCGGGAAAATCTATTCAATTTAAAATTGATTTCATAACTGCTTAAAATAATTTGGATTATTCATTTGTACACCTAATACAACATTTTCACCTGGTTCCAAGAGCTCGTAGTATAGCACACTCTTCTGGTCCCACTATACAAGGTGTCCCATAATTGTAACATACCAACTCGATAAGGGCGTGGAGCTAAGCGAGAGGAACGAAAAAGTTCTCTTGCATTTAGCGACATCTCGCATAGTTTTTTAATAATAATCGCATAAAGTTTGATGTTTGTTACGTCCATTGTGGCCTATAAACGTTTCGCGACGAGATATGAGCGAATGTGCGTCGAGGCTGAGCGGTAATGTAGTTCGCGTTGATCGTTGCGCAGCGTCAAAGCGACAGGACACCATCGCGACAGTCAGCGCGAGACACATTATCGCTCAGCTTCGATGCATACAGCTCGCCGCGGAGCGTCTATAGGCCGCAATGGGCGTGACAAATGCCAAATTTACACGGTTATTACTAAAAAATTATGCGAGATATCACTAAATGGAAGAGGACTTTTTTGTTTCTCTCGCTTAGCTCTACGCCCCTATGGAATTAGTGTGTTATTTATGGGACATTCTGTATACACAGAAGTTTTTTTCTGAAGCGTTTGGGTTTTGTTGTCGACATTATTGGTTGACGAAGGTCTACCTATGATTTTTATATTTTCATATATAATCTATTTTTTGCCACTAATTACAATTTTTGTTGTTGTCTGGTAAGCAAGATCAACGCATATAGTCAATCGGTGATTTTTGTTATCAATGGTTAGCTTATATGGAATCCATCTCCTTTTTTTCTACATCTTTCCCATACGATGTAAATGATCGCAAATAGCTTTCTGACTTACTTTCAGAGTTTCCGAAAGTTCTTGTTGTATTTGTGCCGTATTTTCATTCAATAGAGTTTGCAACTTTTCGTCTTTAAATTTTTTTTGGCTGATTAGGACGTGATTGGTCATGAAGATCAAAAGCACTACTTCGAAAACGTTCAAACTAGTTTTGGCAAGTATTGTCGGTCACATCATTTTCACTGTAAGCAGCACAAATCATTTGGCTGCTTATATTATAATTTGATGATTTTAAAATTTCCAAAAGTTAATAAGTTAACAAAAAAGTAACAGGGCGCTATTGAAACAATATATTCTTGAGACTAAATAGAGTAAAAAAGTCTAGTACCACTTTTTCTTCCGACAAATAGCGAAATATTGTAAGTTAAATATTGAAAATGTTGTCAAGTTTTTCTTAAACATCTAAAAAAATATTAGGCAAATAAAAAAATATTTTCGACAAAAGTTGTTCAAATTAATTGGTGGGAAAAGACGGTGTAATAAAAAATTGAGATTTCCATTTAAGATTTTTATGTTGATCTTGACTGGGCTTTTCAAGGTCACATACACACATCCCAAGGTCAAATTCGTAACGTCAATAAATAGATTCTTTGAAGCCCTACAACTTTTGCCTGAAACATTTTTCTCTAAAATGTCGTGTTTACGAAAAAATCGGGTAACCCGGGTCTGAAACACCTTGTATATCATTTCGAAAAGTTAAACATCAACATCTTAAAGCCACAAAAGAATGGGAGAATATTTCAGTTTCACATTTTGCCCTGAGCTACGTAAATTTCATTGAAATGAATTAACTACTAAACTTAATATTTCATCATACAACCAGTTAGGTTATTATGTGGTCCAATCGATATTAGTCTGGTAAATCTTTAAGAATATATAAAAAGTGTTTTATAACTCGCTAGAAGGAATTCATGGACATATAAAGCGGATTAAGACAAATTGTTCTATACCGTTAAGACAAACAAAAAGTTCCACACCATTTTGCGATGTTCACAATAATTATCGAGTTATTAATTATAGAAATCTGACGAATTCGACAAGCGTGCGTCAAGATGGATGATTGGAGAAGTATACAATCATTCGGGTTATTGTGCGATCCAGCAACTGTTGCTGGCAGGCAGTGAGGGAAAGGATAACGAACCGCTATTCGTGTCTTATCTTGCTGCAACAGTTGCTGGTCGATTGAACCGCGCTTAAGCGGTTCCTCTAAAATACCATCTCGACGCGCTCGTTCACTTATCAGGTTTCTATAATAATTATAATAACTCGATAATTATTATCGCGATTATCGCAAAACGGCATGGAATTTTTATGTTTGTCTTAATCTGCTCTATGTCTCCACGAATTTTTCGTAGTAAGTTGCAGGATACCATGTATATTAAATATACATTATATTAAAAGTGAAAACTTTAACATTTTCATGCGAAATCTTGAAGACTCTTTGTTGGATATCAAATTGGAATCGCAATTAAATAAAAATAATCAGTATGTCAAAGCGATGTCAAGGTACGATTCTGTTTTCCAATTCTTTTATTTTTCAATTCTTGCAATTATATGTTATATTCAGAGGTTGGATTGCTTTAATAAGATTATCGTCATGTTTATTTTTAGATTGAAAGATATAGCTATACGTAGAATACAGAATATATTTTTATATCCCGATATGATATTCAGACTCACAACTTTGAATAGTGAGGTGCAGAAGCATTTAAATTTTATAAATTCTATTGTGGAAGAAGTAAGTATTATGCCTATACATGATGTTATTATATTCTTTAATCGCTACGTAATTTATTGTCATGCAGATAATACAACAAAAAGAACATGTGAAAAATAATCTAGATGCTGCTAAAACCAAATATGCAAAGCTTTGTAAGTTGTCAACGTATTTGTATAGCTTTAGATGCTATATTTTTGCGGTTATTGCAATAAACTGCTTGGGTGAAATTATATATTTTGTATATTAAATTAATACATGTACAAAAGATACACTTATCGCTTTCTTCTTATTTATACAATAATATATTTAGTGTGGCACATTTGCATTCATCACCACAGATTGATGGAAAAATTTTGTTATGAGAAATATAAATGAATTCAACACATATATAGCATATTAAAATCTTGTTATCAATTTAAAAAAATTCATTATATACTTTTATGTTCGAATAAAATAGCACGAAGAATATTTCTTGATGTACTAATGGAAGCATTTGACAAAGGCAAGAAATTCACTCACAAGGAAATTCTCGATGAAATCAATACGATGATGCTAGCGGTTTGTATAGCTCAACTCTCTTGAGATGTATATAATTGTTCACGTAATGTATTAATGAAACTACAAGACTGATAAAACTAGTTTTCACTTACAGGCTTCCGATACGACCACTGTCACAATGTATTTTACGATATTCATGTTGGCAAATTTCCCAGAAATTCAAGTACGTATTAGGATTTAATTAATTTTTGCTGAGATTATTTTATTTTTCGTAATCATATTATTTTTCTTACTTTGTTCTATTTTAATTTGATCCATTTTATTTAATCTTAAAGAAGTGTTGATTAAAGAAGTGTTGTTCGCGCAGCATTGAAATTTTATATGTATATTCAACCTCTTTATCTCATGTAATATTTTTATTGACTTTAGTCTTTTTCTTGCAATTACTTTTCCTAACAGATGTGCAATCTCTTATTATTATTTATTAGCACAACAAACGTCTTCAAACTAAAACTCTTCTGTTCTTTACGTTACTGTTTTCTAATTTTTTTCTTACACTTTGACAAAAATTTCTTCTAGAGTAATCAAGTATCTATATTTATTATCCATTTACTATATACAGATAATATTATATATAGTATATACCACTAGTTTACAGAAAATAATTTTTTTTCATAATTTCAAACTATGAGGTATTTCTTATAGATTTTTAGGTGCTGAAAACACAACAAACCAAATTTGATCAGCAGGTCAGGTTTTCAAAAGAATTGAGTTTTATTGTGCAAAAAATTACTTTCTCGCGATATTTAAAGTTTTTTTCATGAAAAGAGTTTCTTAAAGAGTTTTTTAAATATTATCTGGAAATTCGGATAAAAAATCAGGAGTGTATTGTTTATCTCTAATAAAATATATTTTTATTTTGATATTGTTCATCTTCTATAAAATGCACTTTTTCTTATCTTGACGTCATTGATTATTTTGATACTTTTTAGCCATATTATGAAGAATTTAAATACTGAATTTTGCAGAGATAGCAAATATTTCTATAATGATGAAATCATATACACTTATAATTGTAATTTTGGGCTAATAATGCATATACATAGTGCAATTTATCGTGATAGATTCCAATAAATATATATTTATACAGTGTGTATAAAAAGTACCAGGACAGTGAAATATAACAAAAACCAAGCATTCTAGAAAAAAATGTTTCAAATAAAAATTGTAGGATTTCAAAAGATCTACTGACATTATGAGTTTGACCTTGCCTGGCGTCAGGACAAGGTCACCTTAATTTTTTAAACGGGACATTCTCACACGTGCTCCCATATTTCATTTTCTATCCCATACATCCTACACTTCCTTTCTTCTTTCCCCTCCCAGTATTTACCTCCTTTCATTCCATTTCCCAATCTATATTTTGCAACTCTTTGCCACCTACTTTCTCCCCAGCCTTTCTTTAAATATCCTGGCACCCCTACCCCGTTTATCCACTATACCATCCATTATATCTTGACTCCTGAATTTTATTCCATCTTTCTTCCCTATGTTGCTTCCTCTCCCCCTCCACTATTTGTTCCCCTCTTATTTCTCCCCTTTCCCTTAATTCCTCTACCTCCTCTATCCTCCACCCTTTTGCCTTTATGTACGCCTTCATCTTTTCCTCCCATCCCTTCCTTGCCTTTCCCTTCTTCACTCCTTCCCTCATTTCTTCCCAATACCTCTTTGCTAGCTCCCCTCCCTTCCTCTCCTCCAATTTCCTTTCATATCCCCATGCCCTCATTCCTGCCTTTCCACTTATTTTCTCTCTCTGCATCTCCTCTCTCACCATATACCCTGGTATGCACCTTTCCACCTGACACCCTTCTTAAATATCTCTCATGAATCCTTTCCATTCCTTCTCTCTTTTTCCATCCTCAAATTTCTACCCCATAACTCATAACCGACCATATCAGCCTTTTTTTTTATCACGGTGGGGAAATCCTCATGGATACCCCCGCCCCTTGGGGGAGGGCAGGGGTTATGCCGGACTCTTACCGGCTAAAACCCCACCGGAGTGTCTACCATTCGGGCCGGAATGTGGGGAGTCGAGGGAACTGCGTCGGCACTCCCTCCCCGACACCCGGCCCCGGGGCTCTAATGGAGCCCCACGCGCAAGTACCGCGTCTTTTCCCCGAGGGGAGTTGAGAGACGCGGTGCCCCGGCCGGAGTCCCGGCCGGGTTGGCCTTCCGGTTCAATTAAGAAGAGGGGGGACACCCACCCACCTATCCTGCTAAACCTCCCTCACTATTTGAGGTAGGCTGGAGGAGTGGGGCCCGTCCCCAAACAGGCCACCACCCCCCCCTTTCCTACCATGTCCGTGGCGCGGGAGGATTCGGATTAACCCCGTCTCTTCCCGCGCTGACGGAGGTGGGCCCGAGGCGGCCGAGGAGGCCCCCGACGAATCGGGGGCGGCTCCTTGGCCGGCGCCACCTCGGGCCCGCTCCCTATACCCGGGGAGCGCCGTCCCCTCTCCCGTCGCTCCCTGCGACAGGCTCCGGGACGGCGCTCCCATTCGGCGGCCTCCTTCCGGGTCATTACGTCCCTGGAGAAGGAGGCCGCCGCCTCCCATGCCTCCTCGCTCCCGCACATGGCCTGGACTATGCGCGGGAGCGAGAGAGCCTCCTCCGCGCAACCCACCGCCCGGGCGAGAACACGGCGCTGCTGGCCCCATGCTTCGCATGTGGCCAGCGTATGATGCGCCGTGTCCTCGAGTGCCGGGCAGTGGTGGCATCGCGCGATGGGCTCCTTCTGAAATCCATGTCCCGTCAACACCTGCACCAGATGGAACGAGAGTCCGCGTTCCCTCCTGTCTGCCATCACCGGCAGACAGGGACGGACGGCCTCGGCCGTTCGAAGCCCGGGTACGCGCGGATTCGCCAGTAGGGCGTCCCACTGCTCGAATACCCGGGCTCTGACCTAAGACTTCAGGGCCGCCAGGCCTCTGGCCGTTACCTCATCCCCCCTCTCGCGGAGCTCCCGCACCCTTCAATAAAGGGTGCAGCACTCCTCGGCAAGGAGCTCCACGGGAGGGGAGCCGGCCAGGGTCGTCGCCGCCATATACGATACGGTGCAGTACCCCCTGATTGCCTTCACAACCACCGATCGAAGCGCCTGGCGCATCAAGCATTTGCTGCGGCCGGCGGCTTTCAGCTGGGGCGCCCAGATGGGCGCCCCATAGAGGGCGATCAAGAGCACCATACCCACGTACAGGCGGCGAGCGTGCCCAGGGCCCCCTGGGTCCGCATCAGCCCGGCGAGAGCCAAGCCTGCAGTGCGGACCCGAGGGGCCAGCCACCTGAAATGCGGCCCGAAGTCCCACCGGCCGTCCAACACCAGGCCCAGATGCGGACGCGGACTCTGTCCACAAGGACCTGGGACTCCGGCGGCGTCCCACGGCTGCCGTCGTGAAAGTAAACGGCCTCCGTTTTTTGGGGCGCCACCTTCAGCCCCAGGGCCCTGATGGTGTCCACCACCGATGCCAGCGCAGCCTCCGCACGGAAGCGGGCATCTCCCCAGTCCTCTCCCCCAGCCACCACTAAGGTGTCATCTGCATAGCAGATGACGTGGCAACCGAGGGGAACCGACCATATCAGCCTATCGAACAACCATATTCTTCTTCCCCAGTCCCCTCCAAATCTCCTCTTTCCTGTTCCCCACACCTGTCCCAGCAGTATTGCCCCTCTTTTTATCCTCTCCCTCACCTGTGTCTCCTGTGATCCATTATTCTTTATTGTATATCCCAAATACTTAAACTCCCTTACCTCTTCTATTTTCTTTCTCTTCCACCTCCAACTCACCTTTCTCCATCTCCCTTCCCCCTTCCTACATCTCATCACCTTTGTTTTATCCACGTTTACTTCTAATCCTTTTCCATCCAAATATTTCCCCATCCTTACCATCATTCCTTTTAATCCCTCCTCATCCTCTGCCAACATCGCAACATCATCTGCATAAGCCAATGAGTACACCTTCCCATCCTTCAACCTCACTTCCCCCATCCTGCTCTCTCCAACTCTTCATCCATATCCGCCACAAACAAGGTAAATAAATTTGGACTTATTGGACAGCCCTGCCTGACTCCCTTCACCGTCCAGAACCTATCCCCCTCCTTTCCCCCGCTCTCACTCTACTGACTCTACTGACTGTCTCTCTTAGCAACTCTTCACATTTTCTAATTATTCCTACGCTTATTCCCCTTCTCTTCATCTCTTCCATCAGCACCCCTCTATCCACCGAATTAAACGCCGCTTTCAGATCCATAAATAATATCACCATCTTCCCTTGCTTATCTATTTGTCTGTTCATTAAATAATTCAATACATATATGTTATCTATGGCACCCACCTCTTTTCTGAAACCCGTTTGACTCGGAGGTAACAACCCTTTTTCTTCTATCTACTCCTTCAGCCTTTCTGCCAAAATTGTAACATATATCTTATATGCCGTCTGTGTCAACGTCACTCCTCTGTAATCCTCCGCTCTCTCTCCCCCCTCCTTCTTTAAAAGTGACACAATAACTCCCTCTTTCCAATCCTCCAGCCATCCCTCACCCTTCCACCCTATCACAAATCTCCCATATCCACTCTTCCACTTCTTCCTCCCTATACTTCCCCCTATATTTCCACACTTCATTTGGAATTCCATCCCCCCCATCGCTTTCCCATCTTTTAACTTCCTTATTACCCTTTTCATCTCCTCTCTCTTTATTCCCCTCTCCTCTCCCCTTTCCTCATTTCTTCCCATCCCTCTGACCACCTTCCATTCCACTCCCTCTAATAACTTCCTAAAATATTTATCCCATTCCTTCATTTCAATTCCTTCGTTTATCCTCATCTTCTTCTTCCTATTCCTATTTACTACCTTCTATACTTAACTTTCCGTTCTTGCTCCCTCTATCTCCCTCATCCATTCCACTCTTTCCCTCTTTTCCTTTTCTTCACATAATTTTCTGTACCTTCTCTTCTCCTTTCTATTTTTCCTTATCTCTTCCTTCCTTTCTCCATCTTCTCAGCTTTCTTCTTACCTTCTTCTTTCCCTGTCTGCATTCTTCATCCCACCATCCTTTTTCCCCCTCCTTTTACCTTTTTTCCGTCTTTCCCAACACCCCTCCTATTTTTTCGCTCAAAACCTTCTATTCCTCTTCCACCAATCTTTTTCTTCCTTCTCTCCCTCCAATCT